CGGTTTTTTTTTTTTTTTTGCGTGGAATCTTTTGCAGCTTTATAATTCCGCGTAGAGCGTCGGAAATTCGTCTAAACGAATCTAACTTTTATCGAAATTTAAGTGGTCAATCAAGTCTTTCTTTGTTTTTTAACTTGTAACGTAAAATTTTTTCCATCTCTTCTCTTCGTATTCTTTTATACGGCAGACACGACACAGAACAAACAGTCTCGTCAAGTCCGCTAGAATATTAGCCATGTGCGTCGCGCGTCGCTTTGGAATAAAATATATCACGCGTTTATCTCGCACTCGTTTCTCTGCCATGGTAATTTAAACGCCGGCGAATAGATAAAGCGCTAAACGTTTCTCGGGTATGTGCAACAAGTTTGTGAAGTGTTTTTCCGACGGATGGATTTAACGCGCTATTGCTAGTTGGATTTAATCCGAACGCTGCATAAATTTTACAAGTCCACGTAGTGTTTGCGCGCTCGGCGAAATTTATCGTTAGATGCTTGTTGCGCGACCGAGATACCTCTCGCCACTTAACGTCTGAAATGATAGCGGGGAGAGAAATAACGGATGCATTCGGATTGCACGCGGATGCTATTATTCGATTTTTCGCCCGAAGCGCCTGACCGAATTCGCGCAAATCAGAAATGTCTCTCAAGTTTCGTCATTGTGCATTGTTTCGAAAATAATTCCGCGGGCGCGGTTCTATTCCTGACGAATTGTTCGACGCATCATTTTTCAGAGTTTTGCAATAGAGTTTCGTTGTTGTAAAATCGTCGATATCTCGGCGTGCGGTTCTCACGCGGTACAGATATGCGCGATGTCGTCGCGACGGCACGGGTGACGACTTTTGCGCCCATCGCGTCGCGGCTTGGCTCGAACGCGGCTCAGCTCGATGGTGGGAGCGGCGCACCCACACGCGCGGCATCGTCTCGTACACCTCTCGGAATCGCCGAGCGGACAGCACAGCGATTCGCTACATCCGATACACCCACCGTGCGCGCGAGATCCGTGGCAACACGCCGGACGACACGATTAACCCCAGCGAGAGTCGTCGACGGGACCGACGATCCCCATAAAAGAGACGGACCCAACCGGCCTGCGGACAGTTGTCAACGCCAGGCCTGCCGGAAGCGAGTGCCTTGGAGTGCCGCCGATCGGTCGAACCGATCCACTCGAGAGCTGTTATTTTTGCGTTGTATTCCACGGCGCGTGGAGATAAGGAGTTTGGTTATCGCCGCGATAATCGTAGATCTTTTCTATTTTTTTTTTTTTCTCTTCACGACAGAGGAGAATCGGTCGTTTCGCCGGGAGCGCGGTATAGCACGTGGCTGGGAACTATTCTAAGAGAGGAGCGCGAGAGCGCGACCGCCAGACAGAGCGACGCTTCCGTTGGCAGAGAGACGTCGGGTGTCGAGCTCGTGTATCTCTTCCGCGCGGGAGGAGAGGAATACGGGAAGGGGTACGAAAGTGGAAAAGCGTTTTATATTAGGCGTGGCGTGCGCGCGGGCGAGCGCGTGCGATCATCGGAATTCGAGGAGCGCGGCTTTTGCGCTGAAACTCGGTCGCCGGCGGCGGCCCAGCCTGCACACGCGGTTTCCGCGATCTCGCAATCGCGATCACTCTCGCGATCTCGAGGAGGACACGAGCGGAGTCGCGACGACGCGGCAGCGCTCGCGCGCGGGAGGACCACTACCTCCTTCTCCTCCTACCGAAGAAGCAGAGAGGAGTTGACCAGACGCGGCTCGCGGTCAGTCAGTCAGTCAGTCGGACGTTTGCTATCCGATACGGTTAAGCGAGGCGCGCATTCGCGTTGGAATCGGCGGTCGCATCATCGGTGTGCCGTGTGTCAGATGCGCACCGGCGTCACTTGGCGCAAGGGAGAGGTAGGCGAGGGTACAGCCGGGAGGTAAAGAGAATAACAGAGACGTAGTACACGAGTCGGCGCGAGAGGTACGGAGGAGAGGGCGAGAAACAAGACGACGAGGACGACGAAGAGAAGTGCGGTCGGAAGGAGAAGAGCGTGGCGAGGAGCGGCGCGAGAGGGAGAAAGAAAGAGAGGAGAGACGAACGAGGAGCCGACGGCGACGAAGCCCCGCTGCTTTACTTCGCCGTGTCTCCTCGTCTCGGGGGCACTCGGTGTACACGGCAAGAGCGTGTTACCTACCACCTTATAAAACGTGCTGTACCGCAGTATCGCGCTCTCGTAGGCCGGCACGGAAGAGGAGAGAAGGCGCGAGAGGAGCGTTGAGCGAATCGAAAGATCTCGCGCGCAGTAGCGACGGCCGGCGGCGGCGGAGTTGCGCGAGAGCGGCGGCGGCGAGGTGCTTTCTCGCAGTTCGCTTCGCTTCGTTCCCTCGTGCGAGCGCGAGGTGCGCGAGGTGCGCGCGTGCGACACAGCGAGCGGTAATGCGGAAAGTTCGCGAGAAGATCGCCCTCATACTTTCGCGGATCGTCTCCACGCGACGCGCCGTTCGAGATTAGAAGGCGTCCGTGCACGCCGCTGCGAGATACGAATTTTCAAAAGCACTTTTACCCGCGCCGACGGAAGCGGAGCGGGCAATCGGTTACGCAGTGTTGAGATAGTGCAGAAGGTTTTGTGTAGTGAACGGTCGTTAATAGACCAGTGCCGCGGCTTCGACGACAACGACGACGACGACGACGACGACGACGACGACGGGAGACGGAGACGGAGAAGAAGGAGAGGGAGCGAGAGAGGTGGAAAACGCGCTATATGCGTAAGGCACCAGCGACGAGTGCCAGGAACGAGCGCGAGAGAGTAACCGGCTGATAAACCGGCGAAAGAGAGGAGAGGAGAGAAGAAAGAGAAAAGGATTGTCCGCGCGAGAGACCGAGAGTCGCCGACAAGATGCGTCTTCACGGCGGTTTGATGCTGCCGATCCTATTCATCGTCGCTTCCTGCCCTTTGACGCTGTACGCGCGGAAGGTCGCACCCTTGATAGAGGACGACTGGGCGAGGAGACCACACCGGGCGGCCGGTAAGTCTGCTATATATCCTGTTTACTTGTTATTTACCCGAGCGCTCGTCGAGAGAGAGAGAGAGAGAAAGAGAGACGATTCTTATCTCGTGCCGGCGCGATCTCGGCAAAACGTCAAACAGCGCAGGAGTGACCGTGTTTCGGTCTCGTTCTCAACAACGCTCTCGAAGCCTCCTAATGCGCCTTAGCGCCGATTTCGTCCGTAGGTCACGGAGCGGTTTGTTGTCCTTTAAAGGTTAGAGAGTGTCGAACGAGCGGCGTGCTCGCGGAGAGTCTTACGTAAGAAAAAAGACGGTGCGAGAAAAAAAAGGGAGCGAGAGTATCGATGCGGGAACCACCGTCGCGCACACCCGCGCACATCCGTTAACGTGACCGCGGCCGATTATAATGCGATTCTTCGCGGTGGCCGCGGGAGATTACGCTTTCACCGCGTGTGAACCGCGCGCTCCTCCGCTCGCGGAACACTTCGTTTCTGCCTGTGCACCGCTTATTTCGAGTTTGATGTTAGATTGATGCGAGGGATTTCTTCAATGTGTTTCTCTCAATGAAATTAGAAATAAAATTACAGCAAAATATCGCTGTTAGCTTCGATAGATTTATGAATTGGCATTTGTTTTATTCCGGAAAGAAATGTTTTAATTCTTTTTTCAAAACAAAACTACAACTTTCTAATTTTATTTAACGTGAAACGTAATAGAAGAACGACAAGCCTTTTGCAACAACTTGATCAATTTTTCAATGAAATCATTGTAAGATAATCGTCACGACCAAGTTTTCCATCATCTCTCTATCGATGCTCTCGATGTGCGCCGTTATCGGTATTAAATCTCTGGCATGTACGCTGCTATCAACATTAAATCTCGCGCTTATTATCTTACGAAATTTTCTACAAAATTGTTCAAGTTTACACTGTTTGTGATTTATGAAGCCCACTACATTGTTAGGTATTTATTCGCGTGACTCAAACATTTTTGCGAATTGTCATGCCGATTGAAAGAGGCAAAGAGAGAGATAGAGAGAGAGAGAGAAGGACGAGAGAGGGGCAGAGTAGGAGCGTAAGCAGAGAGAAAAGGAACCGAGTAGCTCGTTTCTCTTCTTTATAAGGATCTAGCAATGTCCACCGGCTTGCTCGTGCCCTCTTTTTCCTTCCACCAATTCCTCCATTCTTCACTCCATTCTCCACGGTTCATGCTCTAGTTTATGTTTCTTTTATCTTATTCAACTATGCGCTCCTCCTTTCGATCCGATACGCATCGTCGACACTACGGCTCGCATAATTCATCTTGAGAAGAAAAAATCGCGTCGTACGGCATCGATGACGACAATCCAATACTGTCTTATTGCTACGAGTATCGTTCGATATCGTATGTTTTGAAAACAGTAACGAATGCTATCGCGTGCGCGGCGCACAAATTGATCGATAATATTACATGCGTCACACGTGTGTTTACCGAATAAACCCAGCGTGCGAAGGTGTCGTTTTAATGAACGGCTCGTTATTAATTCGCGAATATATATCCGCGTTAATTGGTATCGTCGATTTTGCACGACGGCTTAAGCGCCGTTAATAGCATTATCGCCACTGGTATTAATTAAGTTTGAGGTGTTAAAGTGGAGGAGGGGGAGAGTTAACGGCTGGTTATCCCCCAAAGCTGTGTACCTAGCCGACCACGGTGCCGCAGGCAGGCTGTATATACTTGCTCGAGTATATACCTACCTCGATTGATCTCTGGCCGTCGGCTTTAAGCGTATACCACAAGCTGTCGACCCTGATATTTTCTTTGGACCTTTAGTAACCATTTTCGGTTCGTTCTTAATCGTGTATACCTGGACGTGTGTAATTATCCGCGCATTAAAAGCTCGTAAATTCATCGTCACGTACAAATTGTTTCGAACATTAAGCGCGACCGCGTGCGAAACGGGTGTCGATTACTGCAATAATATTCATACTTCTCGCCGTAAACAAATAATTTATGAATAGTTGCACTCAGCGCGAGACTTTTCGCGAGACTTTTCGAAAAAAAACGAGAAAGATTCAACGAGTCTTTAATTTCACTTTATTGATTTTTAATGAAAAAGTCATTTCTTACCTGCTTTTCTCTAAAACTATTCATAAAATTCATAAAATGTGAATATTTTAGTGTTGTTAAATTTTCGAAATTTATCGAAAACTGCTTTCATAAAATAACATATTGATGACTTTTATAAACTGTATATTATTGCTACATTGACATTTCTATTACTCGAGAAATAGTGTGTACAATGCATTCCCGAATATCTCTCGAACTCTTTCTCTTCCTTCGCTCTCGATTTTCCTCTTTCCTCGGATCTTCTCCCTGCGCTTCGAAGGATCCCACAAGACACCTGTTAAACATAGCTGCTGATGCTAATCTCAATTAGTATTTATCACCGAAGTGGCGACAGCGGACGAACCTCACGCGCGACTCGAATGTTGTAGAAATAAAAGACAATGTTGTAGAAATAAAATGCGCGCGTTTGCCTTACAGCGTGCGACGTCTTTCCGTGAAATCTTCTATTTTTTTTTCCCCACTACACGCCGACAGTGTAACTTTGCTTTACAATCGCATGATAATCGTATGGATACGATTCGCGTCGCGGAAAGGAAAGGGATAAAAATTCAGCAGATTTGGTTTGACAAAATCCTTGATTATGTGTATCGCATGACAATTTTTTTGGTATTTATAATTTGCTGCTCCGAACGGCTGCATGAATGATGAATTGAGGCGCGTAGAGCAATTACAATTATTCCTCTTTCGTGAATAATTTTTTGCCGCACTTTATACAAATCAGTATTAACAGCACTTTTAGGCGCCGACTTTTCAACTAGTTTTTGTTTGTACATATAGTCATTAATTTTAATATGCGATTAAGTAGAAGGGAAAGATAAACAGAGAGAATTTGCTGCTGAAAAGACAGCATTTAAGTTAAAAAAAAAGCGCCTTGCTGTCCTTCCCATATTCGGATTCGACCAATTTCTACTCAATTTCATACGATCGCAGATTACTTTGGAAACGCGTGTTTAAAAACGCCTGGGAGTTTTACATAAATGGACCTTATTCACGTGGCGGCAAATGCATTCGAACTCTTTTCTCTCTCTCTCTCTCTCTCTTTCTCTCTCT